TCCATGTATGGTTAATAATAATAATATTATTATTATTATTAAAAAGCTAAACTATGATCTGATTTTTGAATAAATAAGTATTAAACCACATTTTTAAGTTGGAAGTTGTAGTTTCCACTAAAAGGGGCAACTGCCCAATTATGTAGCCCCTGTAGCCATAACAGGTCCATTTTGGACCTGTTGGTCGCTCCATACCCGACCCAAATCTGGGGGCAGAACCACCACATAATTGCTTCTGTTTCTTCTATTGCTGTACTACCAGGAGTAAGAGCTCTCTACTCCTTTTCGCATGGGTGTGGCCATGCGGATTGGGGTTGGGGGCTAAAGAATTGTCTTTAACCTATACAACATATATTATTTCCTGGGTTTCATCCATTAACTTGGGAGGTAAACAATCATCCATTAAGAAGGGTATCCTATTCTCAAACGACCAATATGAAGTACTAGAGTCATTGCACAAGATGCTAAAGCAATGGTGCTTACTACCAAACAATGAAGTAGAGACTACACAGAATGAAAAGGACCTCTGGGCTAAAAATGGTAAAGTCGACAAAAGGAGATGTCATGGAAAATGCATAAATAAAACTAAGGAATAACGTTTTAAGAAAATACACACTCTTAAGCAAAGTTGGTTCATATCATAGTATAGAGGTCTTAATGTTTACTACGCATCAGTTATATCAACGATCAACCTCTATGCCATTTTATCGATGTTACTCAGCCGGATGCACTGCATAAAATCAGTCCCTTTTTTCTTTTTTCTTTCTTTTTTTTTTTCTGCACCAATATTATCAATCTTATTTGTACATATAAGTACAATGCCTATAAATGGTGTGATCTTAGTACCTAAACAAAAACGAGGGAGTATGTCATAGGTAGACAAGCAAATTAAAGCATTACAGCACTCAACAAAACTGCAAAAATGATTTCAACATTTCGACTTTGAATAAGTCAATGATTGAAATTCCCATCGGAAAGGCATGCTTCACTTATTAGCTGCAAAAATCACAATGCAAGGGCAATAAAATCTATCGATATGTCTTAGCAGGAAATCCTAGTCAAAAGATACAACTCAAATTCAAACAAATGCCTCAGTAGCACCCAATATAGAACAATTGCAGTAATCAAACCTCAATTGTCAATACATGCATTAAACTCTGGCCTTCTGGGCAAGTTTTGACCACTCAGTATGGAATGATCCCGGCCGATCAATCCTCTCATAAGTATGTGCCCCAAAGTAGTCCCTCTGAGCCTGAACAAGATTTGCAGGAAGCCTCCCGCGTCTATAGGTATCAAAATACTGCAAACTTGCAGACATCCCAGGCACGCTTATTCCCTTTTGAATTGCCAGCCCTACAACTCTTCTCCATGCTGCTTGCCTTTGAACCATCTCCCGAGCAAATTCCGGGTCCACCAATAAATTAGCTAGTCCCTGGTTCCTCTGATAGGCCTGCTTAATCCTATCCAAGAACACCGCCCTAATAATGCACCCACCTTTCCAAATCCTCGCCAGCTCCCCCAAATTCAAATTCCACCCTTTTTCCACACTCTTTGCCCTCAACAAGTTCATCCCTTGTGCGTAACTACAAATCTTTGATGCGTACAATGCCTGCCTTACATCATCAATCAACCTCTTCTTATCCACCACGCCTACATTATTAATATCCTCCTTCAACCCTTCTTTCTTAAAAATCTCTGAGGCCGCCTCTCTCTCCTCCTTCAACCCACTCATATACCTACTATCTAATGAAGCTGCAATCGTTGGCGCAGCAATTGACAGTTCAGCAGCCTGCTGAACCGTCCATTTCCCAGTGCCTTTCATCCCGGTTTTGTCCAAAATCTTATCCACCAATCCCCCATTCCCGGTCTCCTCATCCTTCACTCTGAAAATATCCGAAGTAATCTCAATCAAAAAACTCTCCAATTCCCCCTTATTCCATTCCTCAAAAATTCCTGCCAATTCATCATTCCCCAACCCTCCAACATTCTTCAAAACATCATATGCCTCCGAAATCAACTGCATATCACCATACTCAATCCCATTATGCACCATTTTCACAAAATTTCCTGACCCCCCCTCTCCAATATAAGTAACACAAGGCCCATCATCTACCTGTGCCGCGACCTTCTCCAATATATTATGAATATTCAAATAAGCCTCATGCGACCCTCCAGGCATCAATGAAGGCCCATTACGTGCCCCATCCTCACCTCCCGAAACCCCCATGCCCAGATAAAGAAGCCCTTTATTCGACGCCTCTGATATACGCCTCTCAGTGTTTTCATACCACTCATTCCCTCCATCAATAATCGTATCCCCAGGCTCCATATGTGCTGCCAGAGCCGCAATGGTTTGGTCAACAGGTGCGCCGGCTTTAACTAGGATTATTACCGACCTGGGTTTTTGTATAGAAAGCACAAAATCTCTTGGGTTGTACTGGCCGATGAGAGGGAGATTACCTTCACGGTGGGCCCGATCTAGGGTCTCGTCGACTTTGGAGGTTGTCCTGTTGTAGACGGAGATAGGGAAACCCTTCTCGCCGATGTTCAGAGCTAGGTTTTGGCCCATGACGGCCAGGCCAGTTAGCCCAATTTGCGACAGCGCGGCGGATTCCATTGATGGTTGGTGGAGGAGAAGTGAAAATTCCGGTGAAAATGGAGGCAGAATGATTGCGAGAGAGAGAAGAGTGAACAATATTTATAAATTATAATAAGAGCTGGGAAATGATCACGTGGAACGGAAAATGACGAAAAAATCCTTCTTATTTTTTGAATTTGATGGGTTTGGGTTTGTATATATATAATAATGAGTTTTCTTTGTGCTATACTGAAAATTATTTTATGCAAAAGATAGTAATGTGAGTCGAGAAAAAACGTAGTTACATTTCACATCTCAACCTCCCACCTTGAATACGAGGATGATAAATAGGTTGGACACACAATTACTTCATTAAAATCCGTCAAAATAGAAATAACTATCAGTTTGTTATAATATTAAACTCATATTTGATTCCACTAAAAGAGTGCATTAAAATTTAATTCAGAACAGATACTTAATTTAATCACAATTTTTTTTATGAAATTAACAATATTTCAATTATACATTTAACCAATTTTTATCAAAATCTTTCTAATAATTTAATTTTTATCTAAACCAAAACATTGACTAAAAGATTGAAGGTACATTCACGACAAATTTTAATTTTGTAGAGTTTTGAATTATTTTAGGTGTTTCGAGTATGGAAAGGGTAATTTAGTCATTTGGAAAAGCAAGTTAATTATATTATGGATGACGGACTCATCGAGGTAGTGAAAGGGCAGTGACTCCAACTACCACCGATTGGTTGTCCCATTCGGGCACGATTATTATTAGGTGGCTCATTGGGATCTTCGTTGGTGGCAGTTAAGGTGGGTGGGTGGGGTGGCGGCCCAAAGGTAAAGCGTGGAGAAAAATATTTCATCAAACTTTGGGGACAATCAGAAGATGATTGTATTTGATTATCACTATTTTTCATGAAAAATATCATTTTTTTTATCCAAGTTTTTATTTTTGTACTGTTCGATGGATTTTTTCTTGAAAAATATTGATCATATGATCATATTTTCCTTAAAAATAAGAAATTTTTTTTTTTTGAGGAGCAAATTTTTATTTTCCTAATAATTCATTTTACCCTCGTTTGTTTTCCATTATTTTCCTACTAAAATGAAAAATATGACAGTTATTCATCACATCAAAACATCATATTTAACTTTATATCTCTTATGTGAGACCCGTAATGATTATTTTTTTATTCTCATTTTTATATTAATGTGTACCAAACGGAGCCTTTATCTTTATCTCCTATATACCTATCAATAAAAAGTGGAGAAGTATAATATTTTCTAGATTGAAAATAAAATATCGATCAAAGACACTTAATTGACAATTTCTATTCAAATAATTTCTAAATATAACTCAATTGCCTTCTTTCCATGTAAATTCAATATTTGCAATCAAAATATTTTAATAATCAGTTTTAAAATGCCCAAAAATTATTGTCATTTGTAAGAGCAATTTAATTCTCTATTGCAATTTGCATACTTTATATTGTACATTGGTCCTTGGCCATGCCAAGGGACAACATTTTGAAGCACTTAATGACAAACTTTTTAATTCTTTAAAAAAGATCTTCACAGCTTTAAACACTCTTAACTCCTCTTTAAGCTAAAAAATTAAATTAAAATATTAATCAAAGTCAATAATTATTTCTAATTCATATTGTATCATTTTTTCCCCTCAAAATCTAATGCAAATATGATTTTATCTAAACCAATCGGTGCCTTATTATTGCTTTAAATATGAATATCACTAGAGCTTCACATTCAATGCTCACGCTCTAGAAGGTACATACATGTAAACCCACTTGTGTTTATGAAGCAAAAATAACAAAAATAAATCCCTCACTTCAAAATAATTCATCTTGTTTTACGATAAATTGATCATACAATGCAAATAAATTAACAATTTTACTCCACCAGTGAATTAAAAAGAAAATTGCAAAAGATGGAGCTTTTAAACTCAAAATACCCGAACTATTGACTATACGCACACAACACCTAGTGGGAAGCAGTAAACTAGAGGAGAGAGTTAATAGAGATGTTTGATTGTACTTAAAAGTAAGGGTCTGTCTGATTGCAAAGATGGAAAAGGCAAACCAATTCCATATAAGTTGGAAAAGAATAAACGCCAAAACTATATGAATTCGATTTCCACTCAATTGACTAGAAACATGATTTACTGTTTATACTTTGAAATTCGAACTCCATTTCCACTTTCTATCAAACAATCAAAGTAAAAACGAATTCTTCAAATGTGACATTTTCAATGAAATTTAATGTTATCAAACGGATCCTAAATCAAACATACTTTTTGAGTTATTATAGCACACATTTCCAAAGCAACTTTTCGGTAACAAAAAGAAAGAAAGCCTTAACTTTCTTTCCAAAAAGGTAAATTTCAATTTACAACCATTTTAATTCGATCTCATTTATTACCTCAATGCAACAAACACATTGTCTTAGACTTATTTTACAAATTTATAATAAAAAGTTAAAAGCAGAATGAAGCTAATACGAATAAATTATGCTTCAACTGAACAGGCTCTCAATCTGCCCAGTAAAACACACAAATCGGTTTAAGAGCAAGCTTATGCAAGCAACAAAGAAGTAAAATTACAGGACAAGCGAGATTAGAAGATAATTACTACGGACTGACTCATTTTAGAACCATTAAAGCTTGTATCCAAAATGCTTTCGACCGATTAGGCAGCAACCTGACCAAAAAGCAGCTTGCGGATCTGCAATTATATACAAATTTTGTCAAGGCAACTATTATTGTTGATGATAAGTCGGAAACCCAGAGAAAAGGTTCATGCAGTAACAGCCATGGCACGGTCATGAACGTCAACAAGGAGCAAAATACAGGTGGTCTATTTAATAGATGCTGTGACAACTATATTTCACTTTTTCAGCAATTTGTTGTCAACGTTATATAATTAGCTTCTAAACCCATAGAAAAAGGAGATAATTATGTTCAATAATATTCTATTTTCAGATATTTCAATCAAGTAGTAGTCATTTTTCCACGGTGGTTATCAGAACCATGAAGTTCTCTACTTTCGGATTGAAAGAACAAAATAATATAATAAATAAATAAAAGTAGTAGTCGTTAATTGATTATTGGAACCAAAAAAGATGCCTTATTAGAATCTATAGATCTTCAGTCCTCTAAGTGGCGTGCTAAAAGGAAAGAAGAAAACATCTACACTGACAAAATGTTGATACAAGCATTAGTTTCCAGCTATATGTCATGCTCCCTTGACCACAAGAGTGAAGCCAAAAGTTTATTATGCTGTGAATTCTAATGCTTCTTTCATCATGAAGACAAAATGTCCAACGAAGTCAAAAGGGAACTGCCCCAATCAAGATAAGGTATTCTGAAAACACTTAAGGTTCATTTGGGAGATTCTAAAAGTGGCGTGATTTAGTTGAGCTTCAATATTGCTAAACTCATTCATAAACGAGATCAAATTTGACTTTTCAAATATGGTCTTGGATGAGACAGTGTGGTGCTTGGGGAACCTGATTTATATTGTTGCTAATCCCACAACACACTATTTTTTGTTCTTATTTTGTGATGAAATATACCTACTCAATTTAACTTGATGGAAGAGAAAATGTTGCAATTAGAATGTCACAAACACTTTTACTTATCAAGAAGAATGTGTGTGTCACATTTTGTATGGGCAAAAGCAAAATTCTTGATATCAGGAATTTATGTCAACAGAAAAGGTAAAAGAGTAATAAATATAAAAAGTGAGTAAAAACTAGCTGATCACCTAGGGGACCTCATAATTCAATTAATGATACTTATACAACTAGAAGACAACATCAAAGCTAAGGCCAAGAAGCTGCAAAGAAAGAAAGAAATTGGGTAGACAGTATTTAGGACAACAGTACCTCTGGAAGTTTCTTACGGAACACAACATCCAACCTAGCATCAAGAGTGTTTTCAAAAACAATTTTCCCATCTCGAGAAGCCAACACTACACCTCCGGAACTGAAAATAGAAGGAAAACATGCCTTCAGGCATCATTTTAATAAACAATGAATTGTTTTATAGACCATAAGCAGAGAAGAGCAAAGACTGCAGGGTAAATCCACACGCATTGGATTAGACCTTGTAGTTCAGAATTTTTTCTCAAATTTCTTTAGATGGAAGTAACACACTATGAGCAGTAACAATTACCAGAAAAGATCATGTTCATTAGCATGGGATGGAGCAGGTGGAAGGTAGACACTATCAACTATGATCTCAGGAGGATGAACTGTTGCCTTCTTTGCGTACTCCTTCTTTGCAGAGTCCAAGACAGACTCCACAAAACCTACATCTTCTTTACGACAGCGCAATAAGACGGATGGCTCTTTCAGTCTGAGCAAACTCTGCAACACAAAGAAATGTTCTTGGGTACTAGTGAATGGTTTGATGGGCAAAATTAAGTTATATCATCCTCAGAGTTGTCGTGAAAGAAAAAAAATGACATTATTCCAAGGCTTTAAATGAAAACACTCCATCCAGCAGAAAATTGAAGTCACTTGAGAAAGAAGATAAAAGAACCAACTGCTCAAGTGCAACACTCTATTTTCTCATGATAAGCATGTTTAGCTAAGCTTAAAAAAAGTAAATGCATTATCAAACATGTTTGATATGTTACTTTTCTCTTATGTTTAAGTAAAACAAGTAACTTTAACCTTGCTATCGAAATAACTAACTTATAATAACCTTGGATCAATTAGAAAATTCTGCTCATAAGGATGTAGCTGAGTTTCTGCAAGTTTATAACAAATGACTCCTGAGATTCTGTAGAAAAGCTTATTCATGTTTACACGTTTGGAAACTATTTCATCAAATGTTTATCTATGATCATTTATATAAGGAAAAATGTTAAAAACAAACAGAATTGTAACTCCTGAATTCTTTTCTATTACATGTTCACCTACCTACTTATGTGTTAGAAGCAGTCACGGTTCATTTTCGAAAATCAAAATTATAATTAAAAACAGCAGAAAAAATGGTTTCAACAACCTGAACAATGAGATCTTTCAGAAGTTTTTTATAGCTATTGCCATTCTGGCTCACGTTCAAAAGCTCTTTTGACCCAGCCTCCTTCATCGAGTTAACCAAGTCATCCTGAGCTTGAAGAACCTTGATCCGAGAAGCATTGAGCTGCATGGAGTATTCACTACAAAAACCAATTAAAAGAAAACTCAAGTAACGCGTTTTAATCATTAACCTTTTTCGAAATCTATGCATAATGTTATAATTGAATTTGACATAAAACATACAATAATGCTATTTAGCCTCACTGGGTTACAACCCAATCTAGGTGGCGCTAGATGATAAGTTGAATAAAAGATTGAAGTAAATGGCTTATTTGATTCCACCTATCATTTTAAGTCACGTTAATGCCACCAAGACTGTGGTTGTAACCTCGATAGGGCCACATAGCATCATTCTAAAACTTATATAACTCCCAAATGCTTCAAAATAATTAACTTTGTAATCAGATTGGAGTAATCAATCAATCTTATTTTTCTGAATGGCTAAATCTAAAAGGAAATACATTTACTGTATTTAAAAATCATGAACCATGAGGATATCAAGGGGCACAGGTAATCTAGATCTCCCTGCTCAGTAGAAGCATCAATGATTTCAACAAATCAGAAAAAATTACGTATTAGAAAAATCATGATAGACATGATTAAATGAAAATTTTGTATAATCAAGTGACAAAAGTTCAAACCTTTCAGCGACAAAGGATACACCTTTTTCCTTCTGACTACCCAAGGCGGAAAATTAAAAACAAGGGGAAAAAAGTTGAAATTACATTTTTTTACGAACTTGAACTTGTTTATCTTTGCGCTCGTACTCTTGTCTGATCTTTTTCTTCTCCGCTTCCACTAGCTGCAACTTCTCTATATTGAATTCCTAACCAAAAAAATGAATCGAATATTAGATACCATTATTAAACCTAATCGAATCAGAAAAAGAAGCAATTGAGTCAATTTTACTTCTTCAGCGGAGACGGAGATCTCATTGGCCTTCTCTTCGGCTTCCTGGCGGATGAACCGCACCATCTGCTGGATCTGCTTTGATACATCTGCGTCGTTCATTTTTCGGTGAGCGGATCGGCGTCAGTTATAATCAAGGATTTTGGTTTTCGATTTGCCGATGCGAGGAATGGAGGGTTCTGTTATCTAACATTTTAACACAATCGTAATTATATATCTCAATAAATAAATTCACAATTAGTCCCTAACTTATTGACCTTGATGCAAGTTTTTCTCCAACTAATTATTTTTGAGATAACTCTAGTTGTACATAATTTTTCATCCATAAAGTTGTTCATACTCTCACATTAGATATGACTCATTTGAGTAAAATATTTGAGTGGATCCCACCCATTGAGTGTATGGATGCCTTTATGAGTGAAAAATTATGTACAACTAAAACAACCCTTATTTTTGCTCTTCCTACGGATGATAACGGGACGGATTAGTTATTTTACCTCTAGTTTTCTGTTTCTTTTGAGTGTGATAAAATTAATATTTTTGTTAAAAAATACTATTATATTCTTATTTGTTTATAAATTAATTATAAAGAAATTAAAATGATAGTTAAAAAGAGCAACGACCAAACCAACATGCCAACTTCTTAGAACATATTTTCAATGGAACTTTAGATTGCATGAGTATGTGTGTGTGTGTTACATCATCCAAAAATGCTTACATGGCACGAAAAAAATGTGAAGGATTTCCAACACATCTATCTCCACATACCCATGGAGACGATATTCTCTTCATTCCAATTTTGTTTGTCACATGTACAATAATTCGGATTATTACAATGAAATGCTCTTATATTTGAATCATATCGCATAATTAAACAATAATAGAAGTGGGTGCAAAATGTTAACTGGTGATGGACTTTACATTAAAAAAAATCTATCGAATTGATTGTCTTGTTTGAATTTGCAAAATGAATAATGTTATTTATCATTATGATGATGGAACATTGATGATGTGGTAGTCTATATGGAATAATGAGATTGGATGGTTCAATTTTTATGAGAGAGAGGAGAAGACATAGGGGTGAGAGAGGAAAAATGGATTACTACCATTGATGTTTCATCACAATGATGATGAAATAGTGTTCCTTAGTAAAAAGCACCTCGGTGTATGGAAGATCAACCAAGGAGTCACCGTCCTTAGTGATATTGGACCAAAGCGTCCAGATTGAACGAGGCATCCCGTTCGAAATGATGTGGGCAGAGGCTGTACGTGTAGAAGAAGTGAAGAAGTACCTCTCCACCGTCAATTTTACAAATGAATCTTTTGGTCAAATATGTGTTCATATCTTTAGGAATGATGGATGTGACATCTCTGTCAAGTGTCAACTCCTAGTCAGAAGAACTAATTACCTGCCCCACCTAGGAAACGATCGATGGACGTCTACGAACGAACACCTAGCACCGTCAAATGAGTCCATGTGTCCAACATCAGACGGTGCCCCTTCCAACCTTCTTCCGATAAATACTAAAGAGTCCAACTTGAAAAAGTAACGTTATTCCACTAAAAGCATATACTTTTCTCCTCCCTCATCTATAGAGATTTCAGCAGACGGTCACCAACGGAATATACATTCCTCGTTGACTAACTTGATCATCAGAGTGTATGTGGCCGCTACCACTTTCGTTAGGAATGGCCATATACATCTAACTGTTTGTGCCATGCGTAGGGAAGAATACACGTGGAGTAGCTTTTGTTTGGCCACGTGGAAGGACCATTTTGTGGGGTCAACGGATTGGCACCATCTATGGGAAAGTTTCTTGTCATTTTAGTGCTTCCCACTTGTCAACAGAAATAGCCTACAGAAAGAATCCAAACAAATCTTTTTCCTTGAAGAAAGATGCTCTTGAATAAAGAACAAAGTGAAAGTTTAAGCTAATGATCCAGATTGGGTGTATCTTTGGAAAAATGGGATGAAATCAATGAGTTCAAGCAACGAGGATGTTAATCCTAGCAGAATGAGAAAAGCCTCTGAAGAAAAGGTTCTCTGAGCAAAGTCACACACTAGAAACCTCACCATCGCCACCTTCGAGGAGATGGAACGGGCACAAGACTAACTGTTGAAGTAGCCCAAAAAGCTACAAACATAAGGAGTATCGCAGCCTAGAGTACAGCTATGCATGAGCTCCTCATGAAGGTCTGAGGGCAGCAAGGCATCCAAATGTTTATGGAGAGACCCCCAACAGCTAATGGGCAACCTTAGAGTACACATAGCCAAGGGTACTTGAGTCGTCAAAGAGAATCCCCCATTGAAATGGAGGTAGGAGTTGATGTCTTATCATTCGTGGCGAATCCACCTACGACGAATCTTCAGTTGGAGGAGAACTTTTTCCCAGAATATGAACCTCAGAGGTCGGTTAGTGTGTTCCATCGAATAGGGTAGAATCCAAGAAGTGGAAGTCGCCCCGCCCAACTAGCAACTCAATAAGAACAGGGATCGAAACAAGAGGCAGGGACACCTTTATCTAGAAATAGGCGGGAGAGACGAAACTTTATGAATTGGGAAAGCTAGGGGAGGCATCCCATCTTTCGTCCTAAAATGAGTCGAATGGGAATAACTCTGATGGACCATATCGATCATATGAACTAGACGATGATGACGACAACCTCACCTTTTCATGAGAGCTCCAAAATTTTCCAATACCCACTAATTTTGTACACCTTAAAATCCCAAAGTACTAAAGGAAGGGCGATCCACAAAAGCACATCAACAAGTATAAGATACAAATAGGCTTTACTAGCTTTAAAATGTAAGATCTTTTATCTAACTTTGAGCGGAGCTGAGGTTTAATATAGTCGGTTGTCACCATTGAGCATTAGGAGTTAGCCAACCTTAAAAAGGCCTTTTTAAATTATTATCTATCACAAAGAAAAGGCGAGGGCCCAATACAATGCTTGCAAGATATGAGACAAGCCCCAGGAAAAACGCTTAAGAATTACCTTGCCCGGTTCACTGATGAGATAACTTATTGTGAATAAGTTACTGACAGTGTGGCCCTTTTAGCCCTAAAATGAGGCCTTAATATAAACACTTTTGTTTTGTCGGGATGTACAAAATAAGAATCCCACCACTTATGATGAGCTGGTGGAGATGATGAGAGTGAAGATTGTCAATAAAGAAATGATTGATCATCGGAGTCGAGCGGCTCAAGGGCTTTCACTGATCAAAGGCGAATAGGAAGAGGACCTACTACACATCTGGTGACCCAGCAATGAACTCAAGCTTGGTACATGGTGGCCCTCACCTAAGGGTAGGCTCTAGCATCAGCTACGTTGAACACAGTGCCAACATTAGCATTTGAAAATGTCTGTCCTAATGCGAATGCCTAAGTAAGAATGTCAAGGAGTATGGCTCTCAGTGGTCGAGAATCAGATATCGGCCCATATAAGAGATATGACCATAATGCACATTCCATCGCTTCTACGATCATGACATAAGTGAATGTCGGGACTCTCCACGATTCTCGCAAAGAAGGAATCCTCATGCCACGAGAGAAGAATGAGATCGTAAGTATCCTTGACAGTTTGCCTCACCCGATAGAAATATTACGTGTCAAAAGAAGCATACGCCTCGACAAAGAAGAGAGGCAGAAGATAGGCCCAAAGAGGGTCCAGGCAGAGAAGGGATCAAGCAATAGTTCTTGAAGGCAAGCCAATCTGAAAGATCGGCCATATAGGAGGTAATACTTGAAACACACAACGAAACTACGTGTGAGAAGCGAAGGATCTCCCTATGACTAGTTACATTGTTAACCAGACCCAACAGGTAGAAAGAGCAAAACCAATCACATTATCCCAAGAAGATGCGTGGAGTGTACATTACCCAATTGTGATGCTCTAGTTGTAAGAGCAGTAGTGCCCAGAAATGGCTCAAGAGAATACTAATAAACAACAAAAGTTCGGTAAACATCATTTATGGAGCCACTTTCAATAAGATGGAAGTTGACCACAAGCTAACCCCATGATGGATTTACTGGCAATAGCCTCATTCCACGAGGAAAATCACTGTGGCAGTTGAAATTGGAATGCCTCCCTTCATGGCTCACCACTTTATGGCGTTTTCGATGGTTGATGATAGATTTACTTATCGTTGTGTATTAGGAAGACCCGCAGCAAAAGAATTATGAGCTGTCACCTCAATCCATCATTTGTGCATGAAATTTCCCACTGAGCATGGCGTTGCTACGGTCCGAGGCGGCCAAATGGGATCTAAGGAATGCTATCTTAATGCCCTGCAAAAGTCAAAGCCCCACAAAGTGAATGTGATAATAACGGACATCGAAATGATTGACGTCCCTGAACAGGAGGGAGGTGTCGAGATAATCGAAGCCCCTGAAGAAGGGTTCCTTCTAGACAAGCTAGACCACTAATCATCGAGTTCGAGCCTCATATGGCCCCAATGAAAGGGCTGGAATGTTTTTTCGCCAATCCCCAAGATCCCACTCAAGTATTGCAATAGGAAAGGTGCTACCCCATACAACTAAGAAAGAACTAGTGAACTTTCTGTGGAAAAACCTGGACATTTTTAAATGGAGGCATGAAGATATGGTGGAGATAGACCCGAAGGTCAACTGCCATCATTTGAATATCAACCCTACACATACTCCTACATACGCAGAAAAGGTGAGCCTTCAACCCGGAAAGATATGAGGCTCTAAAAGAGGAAGTAGACAAGTTGAGTCACAACAGCTTCATTAGGAAGGCCATCTATCCAAAATGAATATCCAACCCCATCTTGTTTAAAAAACCTAACAAAAAATGGAGGGTGTATCGATTTCTTCGACCTCAATCGAGCCCACCTAAGGGATAGCTTTCCACTTCCAATAATAGATCAGCTAGTAGATTCTACAGCTAGACACGAGCTACTGAACTTCATGGATGCATATTCAAGCTACAATCAGATCCTTATGTTCTAGTCGACGAAAAAGATACCTCATTTATCACTGATAGAGGGTTATATTGTTACAAGGTGATGATGCCCTTCGATTGAAGAATGCAGGAGCCACCTACAAAAGAGTGGTAAATATGATGTTTGTTGACCTCATCGACAAAACTATGGAGGTTTACGTAGATGATATCGTGGATCACGTGACCTACCTGGAAAACACCTATCTAATTTTTAGGAAATTCAGGATGAAATTAAATC